TGCGTTGCTAAGTCGATCTGTTCAATTTTACATTAAATCGTGCAAATATTTCTCGGAGAGGAAAAAACCGCGTCGAGAAGTATTGTCGCGCTGAGCTCATCCGTGAAAATCGCTGATCCGTCGAACTGTATCGGCCGAACCTAATTCGCCGTTACTTGGCGTTAAAATTCGAAATTCCTCGGCCATTCTTTTTGCTGAACGAATTGATGTCTTTGGTTCGCTTAATCAGCCGCCTATGTTTTCATATACATTCGCGTCAGCGTTCCGTTATCTATCACGGCAAAAAAATCGGAACCGAAATTTTGGCTTCTGGTACGAAAAATTGAGGTGCTGTCTGTTCACAAATTCCGTCATGTGAAAACGATCATGACGTCAATAACGAATTAGTTTTCAGCGCAAATATATAATATTTACTTTCTCTCGCAAATATTGCGTGGACAGTTAAGCGAAACTGTTAAGTAAACGATCGCGAAGTCATACACACGTCGTTGAAGAAGATCGATCTGCCGTGTTGAGCGACTTGTTATCACAATACATTAATTTTTAACGAGCGATTTGCCGAGGAATTTGTCATTCAAATAGAGACCGAGACTTCTGGCGCGCATCTGGCGCAAATATTCAAGCGTGATCCGCGCTATATAGCAGCATACCAGACGTCGTTTTCTCGCTCGGCTACGCCGCGGATACATTATGCATGTAATCCGATTGATAATGAAATCATCATTAGACGGCCGACTTTCCTCGAAGCGTGTTTAACCGTAACCCGTAGCCCGAATCGATCAATCGTGCGATATTAACCGTGAATCGATGAATAACAGATAAGTTCCGACAGGTAATTAGCGTGCACCCACGTGAATACGCGCGCACGTGTGTATACACGACGATACGTTTATATTCTCGCGGCTCTAACGGCTAAATGGAATTCGGGAAGCGGCGGAGAGCGGAAAGGCAAGACCGTGGATGGAAAGTGATTGGAAACGATGAACGATAGACGAGAGCGATCGGAACGAAATGATATTTCCATCGTAATTCCACCTCGCGAGTCGGAACCACCGCTTGCGCGTCGTGATATAATTCCGCGCACGTGTAATTCCGTGCGGTTTAAGTAGCTTTTAATAAACCCTATAGGATCAATAATAGCTTCTGCTTAATTCGCCCAAGAAGTTGACAGAAGACTCGACGAACAATGACATAGCTGACAGGGATTCTCGAGTTGAAATTTTAGTCCTACTTTAAGTTTAATTTAGTTCCATATTAAGTGTTCAAAGGTCTTCTATTGTGCTCCTTTTTTATGGTGCTACAAATGGAGAAGTTATTGCCGTTTTTTCCACTTGAAGACTTAAATGTAAAATTAAAATTAAGACTCTGGAGGACTAAATTCTTTTTGTAACATTAAAGAAATATTTATTGTGCTCTTCTTATGTTATATAAGTGGGAACTTATTTCCCCCCGTTTCCTCCCCATTAAAGATTTAATGTCAAATTTAAAATTTCGACTCAGGTTCCCCTTCCAATTTTCAATTTTTACACCCATGCCGAGTTTTGATATATCATTTTTTTTATAATTATTATAGCGCTGTGGAGCTACATGGAACTATCTCTTCTAATCGCTTCCATTAATTCTTCGCGTATCGATAAGCCGCGTCTGAACGCGAATATTGTAAAAGTGAATCTTGACACGGCGCGTCGAACCTTTCGCAACATCTTATTACGCTAAGTAAATCGTTTGAACGGAGGATAGTGAACAGGCGAGATACAGGGCAATTTTATAAAGCGACGTGCACAAAATAGACGAGGGCATTGTTTTACAGTTTATAAAATCTTAGGAGAGAGAGAGAGAGAGAGAGAGAACGAATCACAAAGTAGACGCAGTGTCTCGCTGGCAAAGCGCGGCGAGTGGAAACGCAAAGACTAATCGATTATCACTCTAAATACCAGTGGGACTCTCATGCACCTCCGGCGCATTAAAGAGGTCAAAGGTTGACTATCCCTGGACCGAGCGTTACTTTCTACCAGCCTCGTTCTTTTTCTCAGCTCTCGCGAAATAAACTTGAGACTGCGTTATAGCACGTAATTTCTACAACAAGATACCGTGCGATCTTTTTTTCCTTTTTAATGAAATGAAAATGTGTATCTTACATTAACATCCGCCCGATTTATATCACGTGGTCTCTTCCTCTTTCGTGCGGGCGTGACTGAAATTTCAATCTAACACGTGTCTACCGCGACAGCGAGAGCGCATTTGCCGTTTTTCGTGATTTTAAAAACTCGCTTCCCGATCCAATGTTGTTGCAAAACGTTTCTCAAAAATTTTCAGGCATTACAAGTTTCGCTCCAGTTAATGTTTATGCGCGCACATATTTGTTTTGAAAAATTTTCAAATTTCTCCCCCGCATGTATCTCGATCGTTTCCGATTAATGACATTCTCATCGAGAAATTTTTCCAGATAATTTTATTTCACCGTCACTTCCATTCAATATATTTCAATTTACACGATAACGAGTGCAGAGCGAGTTTATCGAACGAGTATCACACTTTTTCGCATTGCGATATCTTTGTTGCAAAAACAGTTGAAATGATTTTTCTCAGAATTGTTTAAAAGTAGCGCATGGACTCGGCGTGTCTTTCTCGCCGATAACTGGAGCGAGCACAAGCCGACACGCGGGTCAAATGTGATTCAGAATCTCCTCATTTATTTTTTACGTTATCTCTCCCCGGTTTACTACTCGTCACCCCCGACCTCCGATGATCTCGACCGTGCTCTGGCAGCGATCAGCAGATCCTCCGGATCTATCAGGACCACCAACCGTGTCGTATCAAGCGCGTCCTCAGCCCGAGAGAGCTAATCGCCTTTCGCTTAATTAAGCGTTGCTCGTCGATGCGATATACACTCACATCGCGGCGACAACGTGCCATTTTATCTCGGAAAACAACTGCACGGCGATAAAACGCGGGTTACGGCGATTCGGCCGATTATTTCGAAAGTATCACGAGCACGTAATTTTGTAACTTTGGAGATTCTAGACGGCCAATGCGTCGTCATGGAAGTCGTGAATTCGTGATGTGTACGTGTGTACGTGTGCGTAGCAAGAGCGATACACGGATTCAGTCGGCGCCCCATCATTTGGATGGTATTATTCCGTCTGAGGACAACCAGTCGATACCGGTCTGTTATCTAAATCGAAACTGATAATGTCGCACAATAAAAAGTAATATAATAATGAGTTCGTGTAACAATGTGCGCGCGTGTGCGTGCACGTGCAAACAACTTCGACTCAATAACAGACAGATGTCACATTCGTTTGCACTTTGGAATGCTACGCAACGAGCGCGCAATGCGAAGTTTAATTGCTCCGTGAATAATTTGGATTTTTCTTTCACGCGCGTGCTTACGTTGTTTTCGAGACGATCGATCCTTGCTGCGGCAGGGATGATTATTGTCGTCGCCCATGCGGGCGGAAATTATCGTTCCGTGCCGATGTTCGTTTCTGCGTATCTTTCTCTCTCTTTCTCTCTCTTTTTTTACAAAGAGAATATAGTAATCGCGAGTTAACTATCGAATTTGCCTGGACGAGACAGGGGTGATTTTTTTCAAGTTCGCTGCCCTGATAACGACGATTGTTGTACATAGAATCGAGCATATATAAGAGCAGATAAGGGAATCCATGCGTCATTCGGGTCAAAGTACGGGTCAGCTCGTGATCGACCGGTCGGCAATGTATATCGGGGGGAGGGTAATTATTCCCGCGTAATTTTTATCGCTGGATCGCGCGCAATGCGCATGAAAAAAATTCCTTCAAACGCGGCCGGCGTTGACCGAGCGTCGTGGTGTTCGCTTTTCACGCCGCACTCCCGTCGAGGACTCGCGCGACTCGAGGACGCACGGCGGCGAACATACATCGGAATTAAATGCCTTTCGTGCAACGAATGACCGCACTGCTGATTAGTGCAGTTGCGTTGTCTACAAATTACCTCGCTGATCGTTCCCATGACGTGTATTTATTAATTATCAATGCCCGCACGTGACATCGATCTCGAATTATCACCCTCGCGTCAGATCCGCGGATATTTTACAAACCCGCCGTCGCGATGTTATTTAATTGTCGCCGATGCTTGCCGAGCAACGTTAATGAAACGGACACTCCCGTCGCAGAAATTGAATTTTCCCCAGTGAAAATAAGGAGTTATCAGTCGCGCAGCAGGACGTAATATTGCAGGTTGAACTCGCGACGCTATCGAAGTTGATACCGGTCGCGCGTATTTTTCCTACGTTTTTTTTCTTTCCGAAGAGAGAAAGAAAGAGAGAGAGAGAGAGAGAGAGAGAGAGAGAGAGAGAGAGAGAGCGGTTGAGAAATCTCCCCGGGAAATTTCAGTGACGTATATCGTCTGAATTCAATCGGCAACCTGTTATCAGCATCGATACCGCGTACAGTTACTTTTCAACGTTTTTACAGTAATCACCAGAGACTTGACGTCGAGTGTATCGAAAGACTTGAGCAAATAAATCAGGGCTCAATATAAACCCGATAGGATACACGATAGAGCACACGTTTCCAACGCGAATGGAAAAAAAAGTCCGCAGTTCGCTTTCGACGCTCCTCTCTGATCTACGCTCGAACAGGCCGCTTCTAGCCGCGATGATAGTTATTCGAGTGGCCACTACGTCGAGCCACGCGGACGATGCAAATTAATAGAAACGTTATCGACGCGTTATTAATTATCCATTAATCGATTCGGCCGATCAAGCGTAACACAGCAATGATCAATTCATATTCTCTCCACCGTGATTCGCGGAATGAATATCATTTTCCTGTTCCAGAAATTATCTCTCGCAATTCTCGTTGCCATGGAGAATATTCTCTCTCTCTCTCTCTCTCTCTCCCTTTCTCTCTCATTCTATCTTTATTTCTACCCCTGTTGGAAAATAATGACACGCAACGACGTTGTTCAAACTACAAAATTTCCTCCCGGACGCGAGTATCGCTAGAAGAAGATCGTACTTGTGGGAATGCGAGACTTCTCGGAGCTCCATCGGCGGCTGTACTCGAAGGGACTGGGCATTCATGATCTTTCGACGAAACACACAACGAAGAATGTACTTTCGGCCACGAGACGTCAGGCGACGGTGGTCCTCCTCATGTTCGGCGGAGTCGCGCTTCGCGAGTAAATAGAGAAGAAGTACGCGTGGGTGCGAGGGTGTGCGCTCGATCGACGACTCGTGCTCTGTCTCTCTTTCTCCTCTCTTGATTACCTCTGTCTGTCTGTTCTGCTGCTCACTCACTCACACATGCGACCATGTACGCACGTCCACGCACCGCGATGCACGTCGGCGGACTGTTTACCACCGTCGCCACAGGCCAGATGTTAGCTTTCGATCGCGATCCTCTTCTCGGCATCACCGCCGGTGGCTGACGATCGTTGCAACCAGTCGTTGGCTGGCGGCAGCGCGGAGACAGTCGGACGACAGTCATCCGGCGATTTTGATAAGGAAACTCCGCCCAGATAGCGCCGAGATACGCTCCGTGAAGCCGGTCAGCCTGCCGCGCGGAGAGGGGAATCGCGGTTCTGTCATTTCGCGGCGCGGCGGAACGAGAATCGGAAGGGTGACAGAACGAGCTTCGTCGACGGCCTCCTCCTCCTCCTTCTCTCGGCGATCGGTACGCTCGAATTTCGAGGCGAGAGAAGAAAGAAAAGCAGGGGACACACGAAGCTACGGCGAGCCGTCGCGCATGCAGTGCACTCGCGTGGGATTTACGTCGACGTTTTCGCGGGAAGCGAATATCTCACGTTCGCAAGGACGCCTTGGTATGGGTGCGCGTATCGATGACGCGCTTCGAATTTTTTCCGGGGCGACGAGCCGGGTCACGCGGCGACGCCGTTAAGAAAATATTTGTCGGTTCCTCTGGAAAATTTTGTGTGACGATCCCGATAACCGTCGGCTCTTGGAATTCGGACGGCGTGCAGAAAGTGGATAATATTATCTTACGTCATTTACGCGTACATTCACACTCATACGCACACATACATGCTCTTGAATAGTTATTGTACATCGAGTCCCGTAGCTTTGACTCCAAATAATGTAGAGCCGTGTAGGGAACGCTCTCGATCAGCTCGGTTTTTCCGCCAATTCTCTCGTTTTTGTTAAACGATGTAAAATGTCATTACCGTGAAAGAGTAATATTGACCAAATGTGGACCGCGGAGCGCGCGTCAAGTGGAACATGTTGAAATTTGCACACATGTTTTTCCAATTGCACGCCTATATCTAGTATAATCGCGTGTGTCGATTGCATCATCGCGCTTATCGCATTATAAACACGCGTCTTTTATTATACAAATCACACTCGGTGGCAGATGACGTTGCCTCATTGGAAATCATTATTACACACCGTCGTGATAATGGATTGGCCGTATCGGTGCGAGGATGTCGCCTTGTACAAAACTCACACGCGCGCACGCATATACATACACACACACACACACACACGCGCGCACGCATGCACACGCACGCGCGCAAATATAATAGGGAGCCTGCAGCGTTTATGAGTAGTTTCGAAGGAAGAATAGATTTGCGCGTTACGTAGTTTTGCACTGGGAACACGCATCGCGCTTTTCATTTCCCTTGCGCGAATTATAAAGTTGCGTCGTTACAAGCTCCACGATAGGACGATGGTTCTGCTCGAATGCGAGAGAGCAATCTCCGCTGCTGAAGATAAACACGCACTGACAGAAAAATTGGTCAATCTCACAACACCAGTAGTAGCGCTTATCACGCAAAAGTTGGTTTTCCGGCCAATTTATTATTTTATGGTGCAATCACGTGTGTCAAACACTTTTTTCTCGGGATATAGGCGCCGCTGTGAGACGACATTGCCGATTAACCGTGTTACTATTGGCCAGCAGAGAGTTTCGGTCGGCATAATGTAGTCCGCGGAGACTTACAAATAGCGCGCCTATCTTCATAAATATTTAGTCGTCCGTATGAATATTGGATATTGCATTCACGGTGGGTCGCACCCATGGGAGACTGATGAATTTGTTTAATTGTCCATCACATATCTAGAGACCGTTCTACCGTATCTGTGCATATTCATGAGCCGAACTGTTCGATACCGTGCCGAGTTCGTAAAATAGCCCGTAAAATAGCGGTATAATAAAGCATCAACAAAGGCGCTCGAGTTATTAAGCTGATCTCGATTTGTTTTACTGCGAGATGAAACTCATTAATACATCACACACATATACACACGTCAGAGATTTTTTATTACATTGTACAATATCTGCGGCCACGTGTACGATGTTCTCGGACTTTGCGCCAGTGAAAATATTTATCGTTTGGTCGCCTTCTTTCGTTGATATCGTTCACGCTTTTCTATTTCCGATCGAAATTTAACGCGAAACCGCGCGCTCGCCGGGGAAATTGACGGTATACGGGAATTTTCGCGACGACGGACAAACCAATATTTGGCGGATTGTGGAACGCTTTTCTCAGTCATTCCCTGTGAGTTTATCCCATTCCTTTCGAGCTTCACCGCTCGTTTAAGAGTTCCTTATTATACAAATCCTCCGGTCTATCGCACCCTGGGGATCGCTCATTTTTTTTGCGGAAACGAGCGGCTTGAACCGCCGGCAACCGGAGGCAGCTAGTTGATGCCGATCCGGGGATAATTCGGCCGTAATTAGGCGCAGACGCTTTCGTGTGTCGGATAAAAAAAGAGGGGGCAAAAAGCAAACGGCAGGACTTGACGTATAATCGGGCCGTGTTTCGTTATCGGGCCACGACACACAGTCGTGCGTGGAGGACAGCACGTATCCGCGCAAAGGAACGGCCGATTGTCGCTGTTGCGCGGCGAAGCTCAACCGGAGCAGCACGACATGCTGTCTAGTGGAATCGAATAATGTCGCTGCAAGTGTCGCATGTGCAGTGGTATTGTGTTGTGGTATACAAGGTGGTTCGTAATTATATTCTTTCTCTCTTTCATTTCACCGTTTAGTAATTTATTTCCACCTTAATCTCTTACTTTTTTCTTTTTCTTTACTTTTTGTATTTTCTGCTATGTGCTATACTTTATCTCGTGTACTTTTTCGTTTTCTGTTTTCCCTTATGTAAACACTTAGTAATTTTTAGTCATGCCTTAGGACTGAAATAAACGTTTCTCTCTCTCTCTTTCTCTCTCTCTCTCTTTTTTTCGGCTGTCAGGAACATGCGAAGACAGGTAGACTTTAAAACAAAGTCGTATGAATATTTCCAGTATTTGAATTAATGCAGGATTTTGATTGATTAGGTTTTTAGGCACTAATCTGACACGCCTACCTTTAGTGCTATACATCAAACATATACTGCATGAGAAATCACGGTGAAATATCAATCTTCTAATTTTCAGAACTTCGAAATTTTTATAGTATGAATGTTTTTAACTTCGCTATTATTTCATATCTAATATCATGTCCTTTTTTTTCTTTCTAAGATCATTATTAAATATAAATATTTATATTGATACTACTAATTTATTGTATACTGAATTCTGCATTTTAGGAGACTATGTCCGCAAATGGTGCTATCTCTCTCTCTCTCCCTCCCTACCTTTCTCTATTTCCTATATTTCTTGTCACTTTTCTTGAGTTGTCGAATGATTCTCTTTTCGATTCTGTTCGTCGAAAAGAATATTATCATCGGTAATACGTCTTATGTCGCGGCGTCACGTCGTTTAGCTATCTCGGTTTAATCGTTTGTTTGCTTGCACGCATCGAGAAAGTCAAGAAGAACGATCTGTAATTATATAAGAGAGGCGGTATATGTACAAAGTGCCTTCGCATTGTTTGATGAGGGTCTTCATGAAATATTCATCGCAGGATTTCGAGGCGATTTTCTCATAGCGGGAATTTCACGCGTGAACTTGTACATCCCTCTCTCATTCCAAAGCGAGAGATGGTTTTTCGTGGTAAATATATTTTTCCGATAAGGCGTTTAATGAAATTTCCGCTTTACGCTCACGCGAACGATGAAATCGCGATCAGTGCGCAAAGAGAGATTAAGTTGTCTGTGCACGGAATTTCATTCCAACTCTTTAAATCTTGAGACGTTAAATATAATTAAATTTCCTTGAAAACTTTCGCCAGGCAGGAGGAGGTCGGGCCTCTCGGGTATATTCACTGGCCTCGCGCGCGACATGCACGAACGGAGGAGTTTTCATTCTTTACAGCGAACTCACGCCTACCGCTCTCTCAAGTAGCGTCTGTTTAGACACTGTGGGCCTTTTTAAAGCCAATCAGTACGCACTAAAGACTCATAAATAGTGTTTCGTGCCTACTACCGACGGCACGTTATTTTCCTCGTTATCTCTCGGCCCGATCTTCTTGTCCGACGATAAGTTGTTGGAGCAAAGGGCTTGCATGCCCTAAATTGCATGCGAGCCTAATCTAATGTGTGCCTGGCGCGAACGCGAACAATGAAATGACGTCTGATTTCAGTCGGCACGTAATGCGCTTAGCGGCAGCCGCCAAATTTTTTTATAATTGATAGATGACTTTCGTAATATATGATTGCGCAGTTTCGTTTTCCGATATCACATACCGTTAACACACAGACGTCGAAGATTGGTTGAAAAATGGATTTATACCAGAAATAAAAACAGATTTACACTTTTTCTTTATTTGTCTCATGTGTGTTATATTTTTTGCACTTTTAGATATTTATTATTATACTCAGTAAAAAACATTTTGTATTTGTGTTAAAATTGATCCTTATTAAAACTTTTGTGTTTTTAACATACCCGTGTGTTAATTTAACATATTGTATTTATGTTATATTAACATTTTGTGTTATGTCGATATGCAACATGTATAAGTGTTCAAAATGCGTTCAAAATGTGTAAGTGTTAAAATTACATATTTTATACTTTAATATTGATTAACGTATTAATTTTGTGTTAATCTTCGACAAAACTTTGTGTTACTTTTCAACATATTCATTTTATGTTAAATTAGCACAAAAATTTGAATAGATCGTTTGGAATATGTGAAACGCATTCAATTTAATACACAATTTTTTACTGTGTGCTATATTCTTTCTTAATTTTTCTCATTTCCTACAGATCCCAAAAAAATAGATTGGAATTTATTCTACATAATTTATATTAGATATCTTCGCCTTGCGAGAGTGATAGCTCGTGAATATCTTCGCTTTGATTTTTATCTATTCACACATGCGATAGTTCTCTCTCTCTCTCTCTCTCTCCTGTTAAAGCAAATATAAAACAATATTACGTAATTTTCCTGCCCCATTTTTGCCCCGAGTAAGATGTAAATTAACGTGATGGAAAATTAATTAACAAC